TGGGCTAGCTTTTGAAATAACAAGAGCTCTATCAATTTCGATGTTGTGCGTTAGCTGTGCTGTAAATCCGTTTCTATACGCGTGGAGAATACCGCAGTATCGACAAGCGCTAAGAGCTGTTTGCCGCACAACTTTCAGCAGGTCTGCTTGAGGGAACCGAACCACGTGTATTAGTTAAGGTTTATCAGCCTTTCCTACTGCTTTAGGCTCTGGAAGTTTAATCGAACAGAACACTCCTGCAGGGGATCAAATTCAACCAAAGCAAGAGCGACTAAAATTGCCAAGACTTGGGCACGAGACCAAAATGCTCTTAGTGGAGCGCAATTAATTTTGCTGTTTATGGAGCGTGTAAAAGGAGATATCAATATCTTTGTTCAATCCTCCTCGATCTTTGTAATTCAGAATTTTGTATTTTTTTTTCAAAGGATTAAAAGGCTATAGAGTGTGTGAAAATATCAAAGCTTGTCTCAAAAGCACAGACGTAATTTTTAAAGCTCGAGTGTAAAACGTCTCAGAGAGGAATTTCAAAGCTTAGCGGCAAAAAGAAAAAACACCTTTTAAGTATTTGCATTTTTCATTATATTTTAGGATGTCGCTGAATAAAAACTTTGTAAATTGAATGCGATTGAAGGTAAACAGCGGAAATGGAGCTTTATTTCTCAGATTTTAACAAATCTGTGAACAGTGAATGTTAATTCCGGGTAGTAAAGACTGTTGATCACACGAAAAAAGTCTTAGAAATGTGATACGGCCAAATTTCTTGGCTTTCTGATGTGAAATCCGAATGATGTAAAAAAACTGTTCAATTTTTTTTTTCAGTCAGTTACTCCACCCAACATTGCATCGAGAAAATTTTATTTAAGTGCCAGAAAATTCAGTGATCAGCGTGAGACGAGTTGATCAAAAATTTTTAATGGGTTGTCTTTCGTGCGCAAATGACGATGTCTGGTGGATTTCCTTAAGAGTAAATATACATCCATTGTAAAAGTACAAAGCAAGGATGACAGGTGCTCTATATATCCGCTTTCAAATGTGAAAAACTATGGCTTAATTACACTGTTGTCAGATTCTATCAACAACTTCGTATGGGTTAAATCACGCTTTGAAAATTTGTTTATACACGGAACCAGTCAGCGAGATCATATTTATCACTATTTAGGTTAACATTTTCGCTCTTTCCACTGAGC